ATAGAGATTGGCCCTTGGCTTGGACCAAGTTTCAACTAGCTTTTTTATCCATCATTTCAAAATGCTGAATCCTTCACAATAAACCCTTTTTGTATGTATCTCATTTTTCTTTAAATCTTTAGAGTAAAAATGTTGTTGATCTTCTTGGAATACAATTTGACAAATCAGACCCCTGASACTCAAGGACAAAGTCATAATCTAGGTAATAAGCACCATATTGTTGCTCGTTGACATGACAGCGAGACTTCAAAAAAGTCAGACATCAAAACAACACCACCATCCGATCCATCTGACATGTTTGTTAGGCCTTGGGTGGAAGACATCAAAACACRGAGAGACGAGATGAATGATCTGCTTTTACCTAATTGAATTCWGGAGCCGGGTGATGAGAACCAGAAGAGCAGAGGGGAGAAAAAAATGAGAGAAAAGGAGGGAAACTAGAGAGATTGAATGAGGTAGAAAGGGAGGGAGGGAGGGTGAGGCCCGTTATTTTACAGCTGTCTGGAAGATATRGCTCACATGAGGCTGCCCAACCCTACAGGAAACGTCGAACTCAGGGGAAAGGGAAAGACAAACAAGGGCAATGGCGTGGGGGTGGCGGGTCGAGGATGTGGAGAATCGGAGGGGGAGGAGGARGAGTGAGCAGAGTCCAGGGTTTGTGTGTCAGGTGGTGCTGTGTGGGGGTAGTTCTCATATTTCTGCTTTTACCGAGCAGATAAAATCACTGCATGAAATTTGTCTTTTAGCACAGCACATTAAAGTCAGTGTAATTTTCACTKAAAGCAGAGCGAAGTCGGGCCTTGTTTTCAGTAACAAGGATAAATCTYGTACAGTATGAGGATGAAATAACAAGGTGACAGCTAATGGAGAGAATTTGACTTTCTCGGCTTAAAAYATGCACATTAAATGCATGAAACCCAACCCAGGCATCACTCCTAGTGCTCCCAGTGGAAGGTGTAGTGTGCTGAGGTTTACTGTGTGCAGAGTTAGAGGTGGGAGGGGGGAAAAAGTGTCTCGATTCTCCTTTTTCCAACCCGTGAAGTTTCTCCCACTCTTGGTGCTTTGCTGACGGTCATTAGCAATGAATGGACCCAGGGTTGAACTCTGTCTCACACATGGCTGAGCCTCTTTCCCTTCTTTTTCTTCTGCATCATGAAGAGAGAGACCTTTGAGCATGATTTTGCAACTCCAGCGTGTAAGCATGCAAGTAGTGCTCGCAGCTTTAAGACAGCTTTATTGTGGCGTTTTGGACTCTTTGGATTGCTGTCTGGTTTGAGGATGCAGGTCGTTTGTTGTCACTGTAGCGTCAGAATGAACGATGAAATAGTAATGCTGTATAGAAGCACTAATCTATAATACAACAGAGCTCCAATTAACCAACACTGGAGGGCAGTTATAAATATTGAGATCTAACAGGCTTTTTGTGCTCATAACAGTCTTAGGTTCATTTATCCGCTTTTAAAGATAGTTCAGATGATTGCAGTACGGTTCTGTGGAAAAGTTAGGTACAATTTACWTGTTAAAGATCCCCATTTGAACAACATCAGATAGAAGAAATGAAGCTTGTTGAAGGGATTGAAAAAATATTCTCTAGTTCAAGACYAGCTATCATCGAACAACTCAAACATCACAACTTTCATGGTGTGAATGCTGTTTTATAAACCTTTACACCACTCTTAATTTGGCATTACAYGGTTATTCTGGCAGAAATATTAGGATTTTCTCGCTGAATTCGCCTCAGGCTGAAGTGCTACAGCTAGCTGTTCTTGCTGCTGTTTTGGATTTGCAAATAACCCTGGAATTTTATGYAAAAAATGCAATAATGCAAAACAGATTTTTAAGGTTTAGAGAACAATGTTTGCTTGAGCTACAATAACATTTCTGAGTTTGGAGACTGGTGCTTTGGAACTGATCAGACTGATAATTAGCTCATCAATCTAGTCAGAAATAAACTCAAACCAAGGCCTCTTAAAAAGCTATCTGCAACAGGTAAGGTATTAACTGTTTATAATACTCTATTTCTAGAAAACTCTACTC